ACGCCTTATTTGTCAGAATTCCGTCCAATGAGTAGCTAAAATGACCAGTTACCCCGTAACATTGGCAGCTACTGAAGCTAGAGTGTGTTATAGTGTAGGAATACTCCAAGGGAGGAATCAGTAAGGAGTAAAGTTGCCACTACCTAGGGTTATTGCAGATATTATCAGCTTCTCCCACTACACGTCAGATCGGCTGAGTTAAGTCAAATTCTGCTCTTACTCACTGCGCTGCAACTCCTCTGAAGTCACAGTCACTCCAGTTTTCTCCTAGTGTGATCGAGGGCAGATTCTGTCCAAAGATGTGGCCCAAATTCACCCATCCGCCCTATCACACATTTCCTTGTTATTGCATAGCTACAAGTGGGAGCAGCTGGGAATTAACCTACCGACAGGATCACATTTCCATCTCCCACGACCCTGGCCAAAGCATGTGCAGTTCAGCATGTGTCCTTCTTCATGACGCTTGTGGAATGTCTGGTTAACATCATAGGTGATGTCATCAACGATACACTGGTCTGATTGAGAGAGAACATGATACTTCCCTCAATGATTGCTTTAAATAAAAAAAGTTACAGAATACTTCTTCCGCTGAACATATTCTACCCCTTCCCCATTAGTGCAATGAGACTTATTGCCATGAAAAGCTATAGAAAAGAGAGACAGGATTGCAAGTATCTGTCAGAGATAAGTGTGATCTTCCCAGGATAGGATTATAAACTATGATCCCCTGTGTCCACTTGTCAGCATTGATGTTAATGGGACTATTTGTGTGATTAAGGGACGCTTGTAGGAAGGAGGTTTGCAGGATCCAGGCCCAAAGTATTTAGCCTTATTTAAATCGGGTTCCCATGGCATGTGGATTATAGCACATGAAACAGCAACTAAAATGACATATTAAAAAAATCACTGGGTTTGCGTATAAAGGGCTAGATTGCGACATTCTTACCCGTGCTGAGTAGCACTTTACTCCTCACTGATTTCAGTGGAATAAAATACTACTCGGTGTGAGCAAAGGTATCACAATACATCCCCAAATGTTCTCCGCACTTTATTTTGCTTGGTAATTGACGACACTTTGTTGTAACCCCAAGAGAAGAACTGATGCATTATATGCTCAAGTTATTCCTCGTACCCACTGATGCATGATGCAGGGCCAGATCCCCCAATCAACAGAGCGATGGCAATTTATACCATTTCATAGAATGTCAGGGTTGGAAGGGACCTCAGGAGGTCATCTAGTCCAACCCCCTGCTCAAAGCAGCGCCAATCCCCAACTAAATCATTTGAGGACTTGGCCCTAACCCTTTATCCTTAAAGCAATCTGGTCAATAACAGCTAGTTTAAGAAAACAAGCAAACCTGAAAACCCCTGTAGAAGCGAGTTGCTTTGTGAAGCAATCAACCATCATAAATATGGCCTGTTATTTGTGGCAGGATTTAGCTGCACTGCTAGTAGACAGGGCATGGAATCAGCCTCTAAAGACCGGTGTTCGATTCTGGGTCCGCCACAGCCTTCCTGCCCTTGGGCAAGTCATTTAATCTGTGCTGCCCCTGTTACCCATCTGTAAAATGAGGCTAGTACTTCCCTGCCTCACGAGTGTGTTGTGAGACTAAATCCCCTGGTGCTTTGTAAATGCTGAGATATTACAAGAAGGCCCACAGAGGTTTCTCGACAGCTGTGATCTATCAGGGGGGTTGAGAGAACCCACACCCTTTAAAAAAAAAAATTATTTCCCTGACTAGGTTACTTCGCTCTTTTCAGCAGAAGTTGCTTTAACCTGACAGTTTCCTTTCACTCTCCCCCCATTTCCCCTCAAGACCCATCCTTCAGAGATCACAATGCTGAGCGCTGGCCAGTTAGGCAGAGTTAGAAGGGAGCTTTACTGAACAGCAGGTCCTTCAGCTGTGCATCTCTCACCGTTCCGCACAAGACGCATGGAAAACTTCAAAGCCCTTGAGAGAGCCTTTCCGTATAAATTATATCCCATTTCAGCAGTGGTGTTAGCGTCCTTTCTTGGCTCTCTGACAGCACCCTCTGCTTTTTCCAGACATGAATCCAACACTGTAAGTAGCTTTAGGATGATCAAATGTCTACGCTTGCCCCTTTGAAGTCCTCTTTTTTGGTGCTGTCTACGCACTTCCCCACTTGGGCTGCTTAAAAGAAATCTCAGTACTGTCCTGCCAACTTTTCATACAGATTAGCCTGCAAAGGTAATTCAGCCTACACAGAGGAATTAAAAACCTCACTGCAAAATAGCAAAATAAGACTGCACTGCCCTTTAACCCCGCCTTCAAGCTTCAGACTAGCCTGGGTCTTTACACAGGGGAATAGCCTCAATTCAGCAACCAGAGTAGCTGTAATGGTGCGGACCCTTAAATATAAGCAAGAGAACGCAGGGATGTGCGTTGATCAAGCAAATAGAGGTTTAGTGAGTGCTGAATTGGCACTATTCCTGAATGTAAACAATATCTGGATCTTTGTACAAATATCCCTCCTGCCTCCACAAGGGAGACCTGTTGAAGTAGAATCGTTTTTGGGGGCTGCTCTAATTCCCAATGAAGTCAGTGGAAAGAATCCCTTTGACTTCAACGAGAGTTGGATCACGCCTTTGGTGCATAAATTAAGACACATACCTCTAAGCTGGGAGTATGCAATGCAGGTCCATTCGCCTCGGCCATTTCCGGCGCAAGTGCATCTCATCATATGGCCCATGTCGTGCTGTTTGTCCCACTGGTCTCCAACACGGTACATGACACCTTCATTGGTTGTGCAGATTTCCTCATGGGCTGTTCAAGAAGTGTGAGGGGTTTTATTTAGAGTTACAATGAGCACAAACATTCATATAATCTGCTATACACATTCCCACAGTGCTACGGGCTCCATACTCTAATGTGGGGGGTTTATGACCTCACTAGGTTTCCAAATCCCACTTTCACTAGGTGCTGATGTTCTCTAAATGTAAGTCCCTGACATTAGTTTATTCACTCTAAATCAGGTCTTCCTACCTCCAAACCTGTTCGGCTCTAACTACAGAGACTGTGTAGTTATGGATGGCTGTGCAAAGTGGGTGTAAAACCCACCACTGCTGGCCACTCACTTTACACAGATGTAAATATCTATGCAAGACACAAAGGGAGTGAAGACCCAGCCATGCTGCCTTTAAAGGACCACAAGAAAGAGGAAACTATCACCTAATTGTCACTTTACTTTTTGGTAGACAGGAGTGTAGGAAGATGTCTTTTGTTACAAGCCTCCTACCAAAATATACGTTCATCACCGTCCAAAGGAAAATCATGGGCCAGACCCTCAGCTGCTGTAGCTGTGTTGAAGTCTTTGGAGGTATGGCAACATACATCAGCCGAGGACCTAGACCCTATACTTTCACCTAAATTACCTTTTCTAAAGGATTTTATGTCCTGGCCGAATTCCAACACAGGTTGGACATAAAATTGCCGACATAAAATTGCCTTCACATTTTCAATTAGATGTGGTATTCTTTTTTGCCACTTCATGTCTTAAAGTGTCACATCTCATTCCTATGCTCTGTTTAACATGTGCTGGGTTCCATCCCAGAGGTGGCTGCATTTCAGTGGCGGGTGGAATGATCCTTGTATCTGTCACCTACGTCACAGGGTGCGGTGGGGTTCAGTTAATGTTTGTTAAGATATTGAGATCCTCACATAAAAGGCACTGCTATAAGTGTAAAGTTCTCTTTGCTCCATACAGAATTGTATGTACACGAGCAAATGTAGCATGGGAGCTGCTGAGTTATAAAAGGTTTGCTGTTTAAAATGGGTTCTCATAGCTGCCTTGTGTTCTGATCTTGCAGGAAGTGCTAGTGCTCTCTGTTGCCTTAGATCTAAACACACACAACTCCTTTTGACATCACTGAGACTGGCATAAACTGAGACCTGCATAATTGCCACGGTAACAGACTGATGTTAGAAGCACAGGGTCATCCGTAACGGCAAGATATGGCAAGAGGAAAGGATGAGTAGCGAGGAAGAAGGCTTCTGCAGATATAAGGCCAGATCCTCTGCTAGTGTAAACCTCTGTAGTGCCACTGACGTCAATGAAGCTATGCCAATTTACACCGGCTGAGGATCTGGCCCAGAATTCTCTGCAGCAAATGGGCAGAGTAAATTTCTTTCTATTTGTAATACCAAAGTCACTGGTCAAAAAACCCCTTTAAAAGCCCTAGAAGAAACTTGAATTGGACTACAGCTACCTGGAAGCCACTAATGACTGAAAGTTCACCACAGTGATGGACGCAGCTCAGTGGACACTGAGGGCTCCACATCCCAATTGCATTTCATGGGCCACAGTCTGAGAACCAGTGGTCTTAAATAGAAACCTCAATGACTGGTCTTGAACAGAGACCAGCCAGAGATCTTCCCACCCAGCACCACCATCCACAACTTACCAGCCATAGGGCAGAAGCCAAACTTCTGTTCAGCATCGTAGTTCTGGGTGGTTCCGCACCACTTCATGTTGTCTTTCCGTCCCTCAGAAGTACAATCAGTGTAATTGCGGTTGTTATACAGGAAGGGGAAGTGGCACAAGGCACCATTGGAGTTGCCACCCCGGGTTTGGACCAGAACTACAGAAAGCAGGAGGAGTAAAAGAAAGATGTATCTGAGCCGGCATTTTCCTCAGAGGATCCAGGAGTTGTTTCAGAACACAGCACGAACCCTCAGTTTGCATGTGCCCCCTTACCAGAGTACCCTTAACCCTCTTTTCTGACGGAGACTAATTTAATCATGTAAATGTAAACTTTGTGAAAAGTTGGTCCACATTCAAGGAATTTGCAAAACCCAAAAGCACCCACCATCCCCCATGCACAGATGTGGAAAGAGTGGGCCTGGCCACGGGAATCATAGAGGAGTAGGGAAATCCGACATAGGCCTGCTGTGCCAGGGAAGCATCGGCATTGGAATCGTAACAGCAGCTTCACAATGCGCACAGATTCCCCTGGCAGAGAGGATCATCTGAGGTCTGCTTTAGAGTTTCTTTGCACCAACAGAGTCATCAAGAACAAACAGGAATAGGAAGAGGGAGCTGGTCCAGTGAGTCAAATATTCTCTCCGTTATATGAGAACAGGAGTACTTATGGCACCTTAGAGACTAACAAATT